TAAGTAAACATAAATGAGACAAAATGGACAGTATAAATTTATATCACTAATTGCATCTAGCAAATAAATATCATATAGTTTTCATGATTTTTACGTATCGAAGAAACACTTTTCTAATGTAAATTTCATAATAATGACATGTAATATCTTTTTTTTTCTCCCATTAAAATGTGTACTTGTAAAAATATATTTGGAGTTTTGTATAATTTGAAAATCCTAAAAACAAATAATATAGGCTTATCTCCAAAGCTTCAAGTAAATAATATGTTAGCTTATAAAGCTCAAACTCATGTTAGCAAAATAAAGTTTAAAAAAAACAAATATTTTATATGATAAACTTTCATACATAAATAAAAAGCTCTCTTTACCCTTTTCCCATTAAATGGCATCCTCTCCCCTTGTTCTCTACACTCTCAAGCACAAGAATGTTCTTGTAAAATAAATGAAAAGTGGGTCCTCTTTTGCTTTCCATGAAATAAATAAACTCAAAATAAAAACTTCATGAGGTTGAGCGATATTGGTAGATCCTTGTAATATATTAGGGACAAACCCACACATCTCCAAGAATAAAAGTAAAATAAAACATTATCCAAATTACATGTGAATGTGTATCTGATCGTTACCTTAGTAGAGCCTTTCCTAATATAACTTTGAAAGCGATCTAACATCCATCTCTTACATAAAATTTATTAATAAATTTAATATATAATCATTTTCTATAATACATCATACGATTTTCTACAAAGAAACTTAAAATGGATATTATTTAGCTGGTTAATTTTAGGGATGTTACCATATAAAATATCTACAATTAATTTGAGTATTATTTAATTTTTACCTTAACGATTTATCATATTAAAATTTAGATAATTTGAAATAAAATAACATGTAATTATCAAAAATAGATCTATCAACATTAAGCAACTCATATGAAGTTTTATTATTGCACACTAATGGGAATAAAATGAACCAATATGCATTATCTGTTTAATCTATATTTTCTTTTATTTGATAGTTCTATTAAACAATAGATAAAATGAAAATTATTAAAGCACTATTTCTAAAAATAAATTCAAATGTTTTATCTCCTAAAAAATAATTATGGATTTTACTTTGAAAATATTTTTTTATATATACGTTCTACATAGGGAAAATGTCATGAAATTTAAATTTAAATTCTTTTCATCTAAGTATAATTTCATTTTTTTTCAATTAAATTTTTTTATTCTTATATTAGAAACTAACGATAAAATTCTAATTCATAACCATACTATATAAGTAGCCACTAACAGGTTAAACTGAAGTGGTTGCACTTACCAATGAGTTGTTTAACACCTCCAAACCATAAGAACTAGCAAATATTTTTCTATAAGAGGGGAAATTATCGTAAATCCCAATATAATATCCTTATATGAAAAAAAAATTATTCGAACTAAAATTGTTTAGAAACAAATCTAAGTTGTAATGTAAACCAAATTTGCAAGTTCTTAACACTCTTCACACCTTTCGCTTATAACTACCTCCGTAAATATCCAAGATAACCGAGTTCCATTGAACTGACATTGTAAAACAACACATTGTTTTTTATATATAAATATTTCTCATTAACAACCGCTTCCAATATTCATTTCACTTTATCACATATCTCAATCTCTCTATTGAAACAAAATGCAGAAAACAAACTCAAATATAGAGGTGTTAAGGGTGCAAGCACTATCAATTCTCTGTACACCTCACCCTTTTCTTGATTTTTCTTTCTTAGCTCCCATTCAAGATAAAGTTGATCCATGCTGTGACACAAAGGACCCAATAAGTGACAACGCGTCTTTTGATTTTGATGGCTTTGCTTTCATTCAACATAATCTTAATCCATATTGTAGCACAAAAATACAAATTAACAGCGATTCTTTTTTAGATTTTGAAGTCTTTGCTCCCGTTAAAGATAAATCTGAATCATATTGCAGCTCCAATCAACAAATTCACAATAGTGATGGAGAAAATACTGAAGAGCGAGAATTTACTTTTTCATGCACTGATGTCCAAGGTATGGAAATATTTGCCGATGACATATTTGAAAATGGAAAAATGCGAACATTACTCCCTACTTTTAACCAATCTCTTCAATTCTTCCCCACCACAAATAACAATGCTTCACATCTTCGACCTCCCATAAAGAACATCTTTATTATGAATTCTATAAGTCCAAAATCAATATCGGGTGGTATTTCTAAAAAAACTCAAAATGAGTTATTGCTAAATATGACAATTAAAAGTTCAAGTGATTGCTATAAAAAAAGCAACTCCACAGGGTCATCAAATCTATGGAGACTTAGACAAAATTTGAATCTTCGATGTAATAGTGACCATATGGATTCTTATGTCATATTGAATCCTTCGGTGCCAAAAACGACAATCAAGCCCAAGGTAGATGACATCATTGTTAAAAAGAGAAAGGGTGATCAACCCAAAAATACATTATCGGCTTATGAGAAGCTTTATGTGAAGAATAAAATGAGAAAAGGAATAAATAAACGAAGATCATTCTTGCCATACAAACACAATATATTTGGATTCTTTACCAACATGCACGGACTGAGTAGGAACCTGCACCCCTTTTGAGATTGAATTATCAACTTTTTTCATTGTTGAGGATTTATATTATTTTGACAATGTAGATTAATTTAATGTACATAGTCATTAGCCAAATAGCGTTAGGATTTTTAATTTTTTTCTCTTGACAAAAATCAAGTGCTAATAATTCCCCTTATGATAATGAGGAGAGAATGGTTTGTTATTTTATGATAGAGTCCAAATTATCACGTGCGTCTAATTATAGGGTAACCTGTGATGCACATATATTTTTGTCATATCAAGTTATAATGGATCGTAACCTAAAACATGACAAGAAATTATAACTTTTGATTTCATCTTACACCATTGTCACCATATTAAAATGGATTTGTTTATTTTAAGAGTATATTTTGTCTTTTAAAATAGAAGAAATGTCAACTTCAATTTTTTATATGGAATGACAGAATTAAAATTAGTTTATGTGGTACCTATGACAAATATTCGACCTTAGAACCTTGTTACAAATCACATTAAGTGACTACCTCAAATGATTATTGTTTTAAATGAGTTTGTAACGCCTTTTTCCCATCATTATTTTGTTTCGCAACCGACAAATGGAATAACATAGGCTCCACCAAAATAGCTATAGAACTCCTTTGTAATTCTACTTGTTCTTTTTTGCATGATTTTTTTCCTTCCAGTCAATAGAAAAAAGCATTGTGAAGAGAGTTTAAATAGGTACGTAAAAGTGGTCACTTGAATAAGTAAACATAAATGAGACAAAATGGACAGTATAAATTTATATCACTAATTGCATCTAGCAAATAAATATCATATAGTTTTCATGATTTTTACGTATCGAAGAAACACTTTTCTAATGTAAATTTCATAATAATGACATGTAATATCTTTTTTTTTCTCCCATTAAAATGTGTACTTGTAAAAATATATTTGGAGTTTTGTATAATTTGAAAATCCTAAAAACAAATAATATAGGCTTATCTCCAAAGCTTCAAGTAAATAATATGTTAGCTTATAAAGCTCAAACTCATGTTAGCAAAATAAAGTTTAAAAAAAACAAATATTTTATATGATAAACTTTCATACATAAATAAAAAGCTCTCTTTACCCTTTTCCCATTAAATGGCATCCTCTCCCCTTGTTCTCTACACTCTCAAGCACAAGAATGTTCTTGTAAAATAAATGAAAAGTGGGTCCTCTTTTGCTTTCCATGAAATAAATAAACTCAAAATAAAAACTTCATGAGGTTGAGCGATATTGGTAGATCCTTGTAATATATTAGGGACAAACCCACACATCTCCAAGAATAAAAGTAAAATAAAACATTATCCAAATTACATGTGAATGTGTATCTGATCGTTACCTTAGTAGAGCCTTTCCTAATATAACTTTGAAAGCGATCTAACATCCATCTCTTACATAAAATTTATTAATAAATTTAATATATAATCATTTTCTATAATACATCATACGATTTTCTACAAAGAAACTTAAAATGGATATTATTTAGCTGGTTAATTTTAGGGATGTTACCATATAAAATATCTACAATTAATTTGAGTATTATTTAATTTTTACCTTAACGATTTATCATATTAAAATTTAGATAATTTGAAATAAAATAACATGTAATTATCAAAAATAGATCTATCAACATTAAGCAACTCATATGAAGTTTTATTATTGCACACTAATGGGAATAAAATGAACCAATATGCATTATCTGTTTAATCTATATTTTCTTTTATTTGATAGTTCTATTAAACAATAGATAAAATGAAAATTATTAAAGCACTATTTCTAAAAATAAATTCAAATGTTTTATCTCCTAAAAAATAATTATGGATTTTACTTTGAAAATATTTTTTTATATATACGTTCTACATAGGGAAAATGTCATGAAATTTAAATTTAAATTCTTTTCATCTAAGTATAATTTCATTTTTTTTCAATTAAATTTTTTTATTCTTATATTAGAAACTAACGATAAAATTCTAATTCATAACCATACTATATAAGTAGCCACTAACAGGTTAAACTGAAGTGGTTGCACTTACCAATGAGTTGTTTAACACCTCCAAACCATAAGAACTAGCAAATATTTTTCTATAAGAGGGGAAATTATCGTAAATCCCAATATAATATCCTTATATGAAAAAAAAATTATTCGAACTAAAATTGTTTAGAAACAAATCTAAGTTGTAATGTAAACCAAATTTGCAAGTTCTTAACACTCTTCACACCTTTCGCTTATAACTACCTCCCTAAATATCCAAGATAACCGAGTTCCATTGAACTGACATTGTAAAACAACACATTGTTTTTTATATATAAATATTTCTCATTAATAACCGCTTCCAATATTCATTTCACTTTATCACATATCTCAATCTCTCTATTGAAACAAAATGCAGAAAACAAACTCAAATATAGAGGTGTTAAGGGTGCAAGCACTATCAATTCTCTGTACACCTCACCCTTTTCTTGATTTTTCTTTCTTAGCTCCCATTCAAGATAAAGTTGATCCATGCTGTGACACAAAGGACCCAATAAGTGACAACGCGTCTTTTGATTTTGATGGCTTTGCTTTCATTCAACATAATCTTAATCCATATTGTAGCACAAAAATACAAATTAACAGCGATTCTTTTTTAGATTTTGAAGTCTTTGCTCCCGTTAAAGATAAATCTGAATCATATTGCAGCTCCAATCAACAAATTCACAATAGTGATGGAGAAAATACTGAAGAGCGAGAATTTACTTTTTCATGCACTGATGTCCAAGGTATGGAAATATTTGCCGATGACATATTTGAAAATGGAAAAATGCGAACATTACTCCCTACTTTTAACCAATCTCTTCAATTCTTCCCCACCACAAATAACAATGCTTCACATCTTCGACCTCCCATAAAGAACATCTTTATTATGAATTCTATAAGTCCAAAATCAATATCGGGTGGTGGTATTTCTAAAAAAACTCAAAATGAGTTATTGCTAAATATGACAATTAAAAGTTCAAGTGATTGCTATGAAAAAAGCAACTCCACAGGGTCATCAAATCTATGGAGACTTAGACAAAATTTGAATCTTCGAAGTAATAGTGACCATATGGATTCTTATGTCATATTGAATCCTTCGGTGCCAAAAACGATAATCAAGCCCAAGGTAGATGACATCATTGTTAAAAAGAGAAAGGGTGATCAACCCAAAAATACATTATCGGCTTATGAGAAGCTTTATGTGAAGAATAAAATGAGAAAAGGAATAAATAAACGAAGATCATTCTTGCCATACAAACACAATATATTTGGATTCTTTACCAACATGCACGGACTGAGTAGGAACCTGCACCCCTTTTGAGATTGAATTATCAACTTTTTTCATTGTTGAGGATTTATATTATTTTGACAATGTAGATTAATTTAATGTACATAGTCATTAGCCAAATAGCGTTAGGATTTTTAATTTTTTTCTCTTGACAAAAATCAAGTGCTAATAATTCCCCTTATGATAATGAGGAGAGAATGTTTTGTTATTTTATGATAGAGTCCAAATTATCACGTGCGTCTAATTATAGGGTAACCTGTGATGCACATATATTTTTGTCATATCAAGTTATAATGGATCGTAACCTAAAACATGACAAGAAATTATAACTTTTGATTTCATCTTACACCATTGTCACCATATTAAAATGGATTTGTTTATTTTAAGAGTATATTTTGTCTTTTAAAATAGAAGAAATGTCAACTTCAATTTTTTATATGGAATGACAGAATTAAAATTAGTTTATGTGGTACCTATGACAAATATTCGACCTTAGAACCTTGTTACAAATCACATTAAGTGACTACCTCAAATGATTATTGTTTTAAATGAGTTTGTAACGCCTTTTTCCCATCATTATTTTGTTTCGCAACCGACAAATGGAATAACATAGGCTCCACCAAAATAGCTATAGAACTCCTTTGTAATTCTACTTGTTCTTTTTTGCATGATTTTTTTCCTTCCAGTCAATAGAAAAAAGCATTGTGAAGAGAGTTTAAATAGGTACGTAAAAGTGGTCACTTGAATAAGTAAACATAAATGAGACAAAATGGACAGTATAAATTTATATCACTAATTGCATCTAGCAAATAAATATCATATAGTTTTCATGATTTTTACGTATCGAAGAAACACTTTTCTAATGTAAATTTCATAATAATGACATGTAATATCTTTTTTTTTCTCCCATTAAAATGTGTACTTGTAAAAATATATTTGGAGTTTTGTATAATTTGAAAATCCTAAAAACAAATAATATAGGCTTATCTCCAAAGCTTCAAGTAAATAATATGTTAGCTTATAAAGCTCAAACTCATGTTAGCAAAATAAAGTTTAAAAAAAACAAATATTTTATATGATAAACTTTCATACATAAATAAAAAGCTCTCTTTACCCTTTTCCCATTAAATGGCATCCTCTCCCCTTGTTCTCTACACTCTCAAGCACAAGAATGTTCTTGTAAAATAAATGAAAAGTGGGTCCTCTTTTGCTTTCCATGAAATAAATAAACTCAAAATAAAAACTTCATGAGGTTGAGCGATATTGGTAGATCCTTGTAATATATTAGGGACAAACCCACACATCTCCAAGAATAAAAGTAAAATAAAACATTATCCAAATTACATGTGAATGTGTATCTGATCGTTACCTTAGTAGAGCCTTTCCTAATATAACTTTGAAAGCGATCTAACATCCATCTCTTACATAAAATTTATTAATAAATTTAATATATAATCATTTTCTATAATACATCATACGATTTTCTACAAAGAAACTTAAAATGGATATTATTTAGCTGGTTAATTTTAGGGATGTTACCATATAAAATATCTACAATTAATTTGAGTATTATTTAATTTTTACCTTAACGATTTATCATATTAAAATTTAGATAATTTCAAATAAAATAACATGTAATTATCAAAAATAGATCTATCAACATTAAGCAACTCATATGAAGTTTTATTATTGCACACTAATGGGAATAAAATGAACCAATATGCATTATCTGTTTAATCTATATTTTCTTTTATTTGATAGTTCTATTAAACAATAGATAAAATGAAAATTATTAAAGCACTATTTCTAAAAATAAATTCAAATGTTTTATCTCCTAAAAAATAATTATGGATTTTACTTTGAAAATATTTTTTTATATATACGTTCTACATAGGGAAAATGTCATGAAATTTAAATTTAAATTCTTTTCATCTAAGTATAATTTCATTTTTTTTCAATTAAATTTTTTTATTCTTATATTAGAAACTAACGATAAAATTCTAATTCATAACCATACTATATAAGTAGCCACTAACAGGTTAAACTGAAGTGGTTGCACTTACCAATGAGTTGTTTAACACCTCCAAACCATAAGAACTAGCAAATATTTTTCTATAAGAGGGGAAATTATCGTAAATCCCAATATAATATCCTTATATGAAAAAAAAATTATTCGAACTAAAATTGTTTAGAAACAAATCTAAGTTGTAATGTAAACCAAATTTGCAAGTTCTTAACACTCTTCACACCTTTCGCTTATAACTACCTCCCTAAATATCCAAGATAACCGAGTTCCATTGAACTGACATTGTAAAACAACACATTGTTTTTTATATATAAATATTTCTCATTAACAACCGCTTCCAATATTCATTTCACTTTATCACATATCTCAATCTCTCTATTGAAACAAAATGCAGAAAACAAACTCAAATATAGAGGTGTTAAGGGTGCAAGCACTATCAATTCTCTGTACACCTCACCCTTTTCTTGATTTTTCTTTCTTAGCTCCCATTCAAGATAAAGTTGATCCATGCTGTGACACAAATGACCCAATAAGTGACAACGCGTCTTTTGATTTTGATGGCTTTGCTTTCATTCAACATAATCTTAATCCATATTGTAGCACAAAAATACAAATTAACAGCGATTCTTTTTTAGATTTTGAAGTCTTTGCTCCCGTTAAAGATAAATCTGAATCATATTGCAGCTCCAATCAACAAATTCACAATAGTGATGGAGAAAATACTGAAGAGCGAGAATTTACTTTTTCATGCACTGATGTCCAAGGTATGGAAATATTTGCCGATGACATATTTGAAAATGGAAAAATGCGAACATTACTCCCTACTTTTAACCAATCTCTTCAATTCTTCCCCACCACAAATAACAATGCTTCACATCTTCGACCTCCCATAAAGAACATCTTTATTATGAATTCTATAAGTCCAAAATCAATATTGGGTGGTACTTCTAAAAAAACTCAAAATGAGTTATTGCTAAATATGACAATTAAAAGTTCAAGTGATTGCTATGAAAAAAGCAACTCCACAGGATCATCAAATCTATGGAGACTTAGACAAAATTTGAATCTTCGAAGTAATAGTGACCATATGGATTCTTATGTCATATTGAATCCTTCGGTGCCAAAAACGACAATCAAGCCCAAGGTAGATGACATCATTGTTAAAAAGAGAAAGGGTGATCAACCCAAAAATACATTATCGGGTTATGAGAAGCTTTATGTGAAGAATAAAATGAGAAAAGGAATAAATAAACGAAGATCATTCTTGTCATATAAACACAATATATTTGGATTCTTTACCAACATGCACGGACTGAGTAGGAACCTGCACCCCTTTTGAGATTGAATTATCAACTTTTTTCATTGTTGAGGATTTATATTATTTTGACAATGTAGATTAATTTAATGTACATAGTCATTAGCCAAATAGCGTTAGGATTTTTAATTTTTTTCTCTTGACAAAAATCAAGTGCTAATAATTCCCCTTATGATAATGAGGAGAGAATGGTTTGTTATTTTATGATAGAGTCCAAATTCTCACGTGTGTCTAATTATAGGGTAACCTGTGATGCACATATATTTTTGTCATATCAAGTTATAATGGATCGTAACCTAAAACATGACAAGAAATTATAACTTTTGATTTCATCTTACACCATTGTCACCATATTAAAATGGATTTGTTTATTTTAAGAGTATATTTTGTCTTTTAAAATAGAAGAAATGTCAACTTCAATTTTTTATATGGAATGACAGAATTAAAATTAGTTTATGTGGTACCTATGACAAATATTCGACCTTAGAACCTTGTTACAAATCACATTAAGTGACTACCTCAAATGATTATTGTTTTAAATGAGTTTGTAACGCCTTTTTCCCATCATTATTTTGTTTCGCAACCGACAAATGGAATAACATAGGCTCCACCAAAATAGCTATAGAACTCCTTTGTAATTCTACTTGTTCTTTTTTGCATGATTTTTTTCCTTCCAGTCAATAGAAAAAAGCATTGTGAAGAGAGTTTAAATAGGTACGTAAAAGTGGTCACTTGAATAAGTAAACATAAATGAGACAAAATGGACAGTATAAATTTATATCACTAATTGCATCTAGCAAATAAATATCATATAGTTTTCATGATTTTTACGTATCGAAGAAACACTTTTCTAATGTAAATTTCATAATAATGACATGTAATATCTTATTTTTTCTCCCATTAAAATGTGTACTTGTAAAAATATATTTGGAGTTTTGTATAATTTGAAAATCCTAAAAACAAACAATATAGGCTTATCTCCAAAGCTTCAAGTAAATAATATGTTAGCTTATAAAGCTCAAACTCATGTTAGCAAAATAAAGTTTAAAAAAAAAACAAATATTTTATATGATAAACTTTCATACATAAATAAAAAGCTCTCTTTACCCTTTTCCCATTAAATGGCATCCTCTCCCCTTGTTCTCTACACTCTCAAGCACAAGAATGTTCTTGTAAAATAAATGAAAAGTGGGTCCTCTTTTGCTTTCCATGAAATAAATAAACTCAAAATAAAAACTTCATGAGGTAGAGCGATATTGGTAGATCCTTCTAATATATTAGGGACAAACCCACACATCTCCAAGAATAAAAGTAAAATAAAACATTATCCAAATTACATGTGAATGTGTATCTGATCGTTACCTTAGTAGAGCCTTTCCTAATATAACTTTGAAAGCGATCTAACATCCATCTCTTACATAAAAATTATTAATAAATTTAATATATAATCATTTTCTATAATACATCATACGATTTTCTACAAAGAAACTTAAAATGGATATTATTTAGCTGGTTAATTTTAGGGATGTTACCATATAAAATATCTACAATTAATTTGAGTATTATTTAATTTTTACCTTAACGATTTATCATATTAAAATTTAGATCATTTCAAATAAAATAACATGTAATTATCAAAAATAGATCTATCAACATTAAGCAACTCATATGAAGTTTTATTATTGCACACTA